AGCCCCCCGGGCCGGGCTCCGCCGTTAACGGGACTGCGGCAGAGTTCGCGAACATCGAGCAGGAGCTGTACGACTACCAGATGCACAGCAAGATGTGCAAGAAGATCGCTCAGCTCACCAAGGTAAGAGCTGCCGGTGGCACCGGGAGAGGCGCGCCGCCGGACGCGCTGTCACTGAATGTGTCAGGCTGATTGGATGATCTGATGGCTGCCTCACTATCTGCCATCGCACTGAAACATAATTACATAGTGAGAGGGCGACCTGTAATTATATGGTGATACATGCCATATTATAGGGACACCAACAGCAAACATGTCAGTGCTGATAGGAAATATACAATTGATGCATAGGAGATTAAACATAGGAAATAAGACATAAGTATAGAGTAAAATAATGTATATTATATGTATATTTATATAAACTCATTCGTGTTTAATCAGCATTACAGATGAGCGCTGTGCTACAAATCATCATAACCTCTCTTGGGATAGTGATTGGGAAACTTGGATCAGGGTTCATTCGTCTTCGTGACTGACACAGTAATCAGACATGAGAGCTTTAGGTGTAGGCTGCAGATCTCCAGCAATTTGACAGCCAAGGCTATCGGGGGAGCAATGTAATTATTAGTTCCTTTATGAATTATCTTCGCCATGCATTGATTTACAATTTAGACGGTTAAATGTCAAAAACAAAAACAAAAATGGATTTAACATCTCATAGCAAAGATTGCAGAGCCCAAAATGATGTTTCTTTGTCTGACCAAGAGGTATGAATTAACAGTAATGTGGATCAGATAAAAGCAGCAAAAATATGCTGTAACCAGCATTAATTAATCACACTTTTGTCCTGATTATTTCAACATATCTTGCTGTGTATCTTCCTCCATATGCATGCTCCCTTATCAGCTATGACAATTACTGATGACTGTGCAGTTCCCATCTTCCTTTATGGGTTCACCTCTGTGCAGCCTGTAGGTGTGTGTGTGTCCAGGAACATGTGTGCAATGCAATACTTGGTGCAGTTGTAGCTGTGTGTTTAGAAAGCTTCTTCTCCATACACACAGGCACTCACAAACAAAGATGACACAGATGAGGGGTCAGCACTTCTGTCGGTGCTTGTTAGGGGAATTTGCCTGCCTAGTCCTTCTACCTCTCATGCCACGATGCCCCTCTGCTCCTTCCACCCTCACGAAAAAGAAGCCTGGACTTGTTTCTCTCTCTCGAAACTTTATGCGAGCCCCCTGTCAGCCTGCTTTAGCTCTTTGATGACCACAGTAAATAAACCCGAGACCCGGAGCGCTAATGAAATATAAGAATCATCAAATCCGATATTTGGTGTAAGCATTTTCTCTGAGCTTTGGGTTGCTGGGCATGTGACACATGGTTTATTTGAGTGTTTTGGGGCGGGGTGCGGAGAGGATAGGAAGCGGGAAATGGGTCAGCTGTGGTAACCTTATATATTTAATAACCCCTGCTGTCTGTGTGCATGGAGGCTAGCACACAAACACACACACACAAACACACACATAGGCACTCGTACTTAACACACCTCCTCACGTCGGTGGCCCTCACTGCTCCACTCACCCATCCATACTTATGCTTGACTTACACCACAGCTCCCTTCCCCCTCCCTCCTCTTCCTATGCCAGTGAGAGTGGTCCGTCCTGGTTGAATGGGTGCTGCTTAATATAAACCAGTAGCACGTCGGAGTGTGTTTACATGGCGGAACAGGCCAATGGGAAGACGGCGAGAGCTGACCAGGCCAGCTGTTGTGAATGTTCACATAAGCTTGTGCGTGAACTGACATGCACACATGAATACAGAGAAGAGAGTAGTGTCTTTACGTGCCTCACAGAGATCAACAGTAGCATATTAAAGTGTGTGTTTGTGTGCACATATACACACCCACACTTTTGATTGGCAGCTCTAATTCTGTCTATGTGATTTCCTGTACTTATCTAGCTTACACTGTCACAATGTTCCCTGCTTTGTAATCCAGCACACCCGGTACCCTCTTTGATATGTGTGGAGGTATGTGTGTGTGTGTGTGGGAGGGGGGCTGATGTAAGAGAAAGTGTGTGCATGCTTGCTTGTCTCTTTGCCTAACCTCTCCTCTGTGCACCAACCCTTCACTCTACATCTCACTCCTGTTTCAACAGCCTTGTCTCAGCTCTTCTTTACACTGTAGACAGAATATTAATTTCGTGCTTTGCTGACTATGAAGTTATTGTCAATAAGCACGGGCACTGGCTTGTGAGGCTACATGAATAACATTATCGACTGGCAGGATCAATACGGGGATCTTGAGACAGGATTTACAGTAGCAAGAGGCTCTCTCCACTCTCCGACCGAGCTGCCATGCCTAACGTCTTAGGAATTTACACCCTTAAAGCTGAATTGAAGTGTGACATCTTATTGAACTAGAATATTAAAATAAAGGTTTCACAATTTTCAACATGGGTTTTAAACATCATAAAGGCTTTTGTTACGATGTTTAATACTTTTTCATAAACTTAAGTGGTGCAAAAACAGACAATCCGCTGCTAAATATAATCAATTATGTTATTTTTTATCATAAACGTTGTATGTTTGACAGAAGCTAACTTCAGCATAGTGATTTATGCTAATCTTAAAGCGAGCCCATGTTACTGTAGGTTGTAGGTAAATGCTAAAACTTGACCTGAAGACAATTAAAGCTGAGTAGTAAAGTCACTAATTATATCATGATTTGCTAACTTGAGCTAACAATAGCCACCATAACCTACTGATCACAACCAAACCCAGTCAGACTGTTCGATTTTATTTGCAGTAGTAAAAAATTGTAATTTACTTGTATTCTTAGCCAGGGCTACTTGTCAGGACTTTGAAATTATCATTTTATCTTCCCACACTGTTTTATTTGAATGATTTTCAGAGGTCTGAAGAGGTAAAACCATCTAACTTTTTTTAAAGTAAAGATTTGAAAGAAAATATCAAATTTATGAAGCAGATTTTTTTTCCTTCCTATCTTGTATGTCATAGCGACCCCTCAGGTTTGCACCATATGGGAAAAATTATGTATGTATTTATGCATACTTGATGTATTCTATTTTTCATGATTTACAGTCACTTAGTTCAAATTAAGGAGAATCTTAATGCTACGGCATGCAATAATATATTAGATAATAATGTAACAATTTTGGGCCGGACCTCTCATCTTAAAAAATGTCAGTTTCCCATTGGACAATACCAGGTTAATAAAGAAATCTTTTTCAGAGTATGGCCTGCATTGAGCCCTGACCTCGACCCCATCCAACACCGTAGGGATGAACTGGCCTTAATATTGCCCAACATCAGTGCCCGACCTCACTGACGCTCTTGTGTCTGAATGGGAGCCAATTTCTGCAACCAAGTAAAGTCTTGTGGAAACCCTTTCCAGAAGGGTGGAAGCTGCGTAATTGTGGTCGGGTAGTGTATGTTGTAACCCCTTAAGGTGTCCCGACCTCCAGGTGTGGGAACCATTTAACAAATTTTAGGAGAACCCATGCTTCATCTTCCTCTCACCTGCTATATCTTTCCCTTTTACTCCTCGCACACATTTTAAAACTGGCCATTGAGAACGGCCTAGAACAGCATGCACGCAAACTCCCCCTCAGAGCCTGCCCTCAATTCAGAGTCCCCTTCGTTCCTCTGAGTCATGAGTTATAGTTTGCGAGCCAAAGATCATACACGATGACGTGATTGAATAGCCAGCACCACAAACTGTCCCAAGTGTTTGATTGACAGGAGACAGAGAGGTGAGTTTGCCACATAGATCATCAATATTCATATCTGAATTATAAGAAATACATCGTAGATTAATAGAGACTGACAATGTTGAGACCAAATAAGTGTGTGTGCAAGAGAGTTGATGACACACTCACACACACACACACACACAGAGACACAGAGGGAATGTCCGGCAGGGCTGTGCCAGCTGTGTACTGCAGACAGAGAGGCGTCTGGGTAAAATATGAGCCTATATGTGTCCCCTGCATATACCCACGCACATGCACACACACAAACACACACACACCTCTGCAAGTGGGTAAGTGAGACATCAGGGTCAGTAGGAGCAGATGATGACACTGTAGACATAGCGTAGAGGGTAAAGTGAATAGTGGGGCGAAACAGACCATATTTCAGGTGTTAGTCACAGTCTATATTGGGAAGAGGAGGAGAGAGGCTCCACACATGCTTGTGGGCAGGAGGATCACTGCATGAAGCTGCAATGCCTGGACTGTATTAACTCACAGGACTTTGTTTACAGTAAATACACACAGTTTTCAGTGTTGCTGTTTAACCTCTATTATTTGTGTTTGGAGAATATTGTGTTTCCATGTCAGTCGGTGTCAGTTTAATATTTGTTATCATACTGCTGCCAGCTCTAAATATTGGCTCCATAATGTCTGTGTTTGTGGACCAGTATTGGTGTCAGTTTTCCTGCTGTTTGTGATGTAACCCTGTTAAATGAATATAGAGGAAACAACCCCACTGAGTGAATTATCTGCATCCATGAGGATGTAAACTGTGACCAGGTCAGCTCAAATGAAACAAATTAGTTATTTTGCCCAAAGATAACACTAAAGATGGTAAAGAAAGGAACATTGAGATAGACTATAATATAATATAATATATAATATAAATATATATTCAAATCCTGTCAGTCATGTAAAATCAAAATAAAACAGTGAATAATCAAAATATAGTCCATAAGTAACATTTTTCTACTCAATATGTGCTTACAAATCAAATAAGGAGACTTATAGGCCAATTTGAATCTTTTCTTGTCAAAGAAAGAAAAAAATATTACTCAGTCTGCAAAGAAAGCTTTCAGTGTCAGCTTAAACTCAGCAATGTTTCTGCTTTAAATTATTCTGCAGTCAAAAAAAAAAACAAGGGAAATGCTAGACAAAAGCACTTTTTCGTCAATGGCTTCACCTGAGGGAGAGAAAACCTTAAAACCAGACTTTTCACTTACTGGGGAAAAAAATCAGAAGAAAAGCCCTGAATGGTCTTTGTAAAATATGCTAATTATGTACAAATAATTCAAAACTGAACATTTAATGAACATAAAATCTGCAATTTCTGGGGCATGTAGACTTTTTAAAACATCAGCATGAGATATGACCATAATCAAGTGTCAGTCGAGTTAAGTGATGACCTTTCCCCTAAATAAACAGGAGGAACAGGATACATTTATAAACAAGCAAAATGTTTACAAAATTCACATCTTTAGGGCATACATGTGAACGTTACATCTTTCCTCGCTTTTTGTTGGCGCGTTACAGGTGATTTATTCTCTGAACATGAAGAATGAGGAGCAGGAGGCGGCCCTGCAGGCCTTGAGTCACGCCCACCACGAGGAGCTGCACCGCATCCTGATGGAGACGTGTCATGAAGGGGAGGGGTCAGGGCTGAGGACTCGCCTCCTTGAGCTGCAGGACTCTCTGGATGAGCAGCAGAGAGTTGGAGCCCAGGTGTGTGTGTGTGTGTGTGTACTCTTACCCTCCTGATCACGAGATAAACTGACCTCATTCAAGGGCACGTTGTATTGCTGCAATTCAATGTGTAAACTCCCAGTGGGAACAGCAAATACAACTCGCCCCTCGTGTGACCTACAACAATCAACCTCGTTCAGATAGCTAGTTACTTTACCCAAGTCTTCATGCCTAATTTAAATGCTCAGCGCCGCAACAAAACATCAACATGAATCATAAATACCCGCATGACTGTCTTGCGAGTTCTTTGGAAACCGACTGCATCTTAACGACTAAAGAGATAAAATATTTATATGGACTTTAAACTTTTATTTTGAAATGTGTCGCCACATCTGTCTGATTTGGTTGTCATCTGCCATATGTTTCTTGTCTTAGCTGTTGGACATTTGTTAGCTTAGGAGCATGTTACACAGTGTAAACACCTACCAGCAAATACATCCCTACACCAAAGCCATTTTACAGCTTACAGCTATTTTTGGTTGGTACGAAAGGGCTACAACATGATGAATATATCGTTAGTAAGAGGAATACATCATCTGAATTGGAGCAGACTAGTGCCATAGTGCCACTGATGCAAATATTATGAGAATGCAATAAACATAAAACTAGACTGTGGTGTTGAACATAGTTTCGGCTTATGCTGTGTCCACAGAAAGTATTGTTTCTTAATAGCAAAGCTGTAACATAGGTCCAGTCAACAGTTTAACAACAATTTTGTCTGGATTTATGTTACAACATAACATAATATAACCACTGAATCTGTTTTTATTTTGCAGCAAGTGGCCATGGTTTAAGCAACAATACACTGAGTTGTCCAGATAAAGAAGGTAGTAGACTTGATTGAGTAAATGTAGATAATGCCTTGTGTCATAGGTTGTGATTTCTGAATCGGTGCACTTCTAATTAATTAAATACAATTCATTGCAAGTTAAACTTTGAGAGTCTTGTTGTCATTGTTAAAAAAATCTGACTGAATAACGTATATCCTCTTGGGATTAAATGGATCTACTCTTGCAAGGAAATTCATATTTTCCCTATAATTACCTAAACACATATTTCCTTCGAGGAAACTCCCAACAAACCTATTAAGAGATTACAGACCTACAAAATAAACCGTTACAAAAAACCCATCCATGTCTTTTATTGTCACCTCACTGCATCTTATAACTTACTTATGAATATGGTCATTTTTGTGACAAGCTGAATAAAGGTCTAGAATTTGGAAAAGGCTGGTAATGATGTTTTGCCACATACTGAGTATTGTTTGAATGTCACAACACTGTAACTAATTGCCTTGCCTTTTTCATATGTTAATTCACAATTATTGATCTCAACACGACCTTGGAGATGAAATGGTACAGGATATTTGCAGTATGAATGTGCCACCACCAAAATACAGTTCATGAACTGTAGGTATGTATGTATGTTGATGTAAATTGGGCAGTTCTAAAGGAAACTAAGGATGTATACTCAGTGGCCAGTGACTTTATATGTAAGTGCACTGTGTTACATGCTATCCTCTGTGCCTTCAGGTGCAGGCTGACTTCGAGTGCTTCCGCATCCAAGCAGAGGAGAGGGAGCGTGAAACTGAGGCCGAGCTGAGAAAAGAGTTTGAGGAGAGGCTGCAGGCTGCAGAGGAAGAGCTCCAGGAGGCCAAGGCCCAGATCAGTGATGCCCAGGAGGAGAACCTGCGGTTGAGCAAAGAACTGGAGAATGCCGGGGAGCAGATCCAGGAACTGGATGCCAAATGTGAGGCACTCCGGAAAGCAGCTGACGAGGAGAAACAGAGCAAAGAGGAGCAGAGACAGAGAGAAGATGAGGAGAAAAAGAAAGGGGAGGAGGAAAGAGAAACAGAAGAACGGGAGGACCTTGAAAGGGTAAAAGCACTCTTAGATGAGGTGGAGGCACTGAAGGAGGAGAGGGGTCGAGCAGAGGAGGAGAAGAGGCGAGCTGTGAAAGAGGAAAGGGAGCAATGGGAGCAGAAGATGAATGATCTGAACGAGGAGAAAGAGGAAATGAGGAAGAGGATGGAGGCAGAGTGGAGGGAGGAGCGGCAGCGGTGGGAGGAGAGGGAAGAGGAGGAGAAGAAAGGAATGCACAGCGCTCTGCGAGAAAGAGTGAAGAGGGCTGAGGCAGAGGTGGAAAGTCACCTGGAGAGGTTGGCTGAGAGCAAGAGAAACACAGTGAAACTGCAAGAGCGAATGCAGGTACACACAACCCCCCCCCCCC